GCCTGCAGCCTGAGCTCGCTGCGGGAGCCCGACGTGCCGCTGTCCCGCCAGGAGCACCCCCACCTGGCCACCGACACCCTGCACGCGCCCCGAGATCGCAGCAGCTCCTTCGCCAGCGGACGCCTAGGCGGGGAGCGACGGCGCTGGGACCCCCAGCCCCCCAGGCAGCCGCTCAGCGGAGCAAATTGCGGACCTAGGGCCACCCAGAGACCGGACAGAACCCCTGGTGGCGGGCCGCCTTCCTGGAGCATGGTGGCCGCCAACACTGGCAAGTCCAAATCGGCCGAGGATCTGCTGGAACGTTCCGACACCCTGGCGGTCCCTGTGCATGTGAGGTCCAGGTCTTCCCCCACCTCGAACAAGAAAGGCCAGGTAGGTGCAGCCAAGCCAGCAGGCCTGAAACCCGCCCTCCGACTCTTGGCATCTTTAGCTGCGGGGAGCCTCTCCTATAGCCAGGGGTTGGTTTTTTTTTTTTTCCTTTTAAATGTAAGAATGTAATATGCGTTTGTTTCCTGCAATTTTCTCGAGCTACTTTACTTGATTTCCCTACAGATAGATACAGATATAGATATATAGTTCTTTTTTAGATATATAGTTCTTTTTTGGTTGATTGTGGTACTGGCAGTTGAACACTGCATGCTCAGCCAAGAACTGTAACCACGGAGCGATACCCACACAGCCTCTTCTACTTTTTCTTATGAGATAGGGTCTCACTAAGTTGTCTAGGCTGGCCTTGAACTTCTCAGTCTATCAGTCTCAGAATTCCAGGTAGCTGAAATAAACCTTTGCCAGGTCTGTTTTTTCTTATTTCATGTGCGTGTGTGTAAGATTTTAGGAAGCAGCCCATCTCCCAGTGTACTAAAACTCATGTGCTACACACACCGACTCAGACACATCCAGTTAGAGTCAGTGCTGTGTCCCCTGGATAGTTTCTGCTCAGAACTGTCCAGGAGTATTGTCTTCCACTTAAAAAAAATCCGTAGAGGCAATCAAAGTTTGCTGTGCTTCCTTCTTACAGGTAAAATCCATAGGAACACGGGAACAAGATTTTTCAGCTGATTTTACAGCAGTTTACTACATAGAAGTTCAAACAGTTTGTTCTTCTCTCCCAATACTGCAAAGACTATATGATTATTTTAAAAAAAAAATCCAGGTGTGGTAGCAAACACTTTTAGTACCAGCACTCGGGAGGCAGGCATATCTCTGCCTCAAAAAAACAAAAAGATTAAAAAAAAAAAAAACCTAGGCAAAAAATTATCTTCCTTGTGTTTAAATGTCATTATTCTGCCTTGGGGAATTGGTTGGATGACTGAATGCTTTGTGGCCTGTTCCCCCCACCCCCCACCCCCAATATTTCATAAGCTGGTCACTTGGAAATAGACGTCAAGTGAACTTTTAGTTTATTTTGGAGAAGTGGTAAGGTTCCTTCAAATCCCAATCAAGTACTTTGTGTTATTTGCTGAACTGTTTTTAGAAGGTAACTGAACACAGAACAGCACTTCGGTGTTCCTCAGTAAGGGGACACCACCGTAACTGTCAGCTGTGGACCACGCAGCCGAGGGGGAGCACCAGGATGAGGCCTGCCTTGTGCTGCTCCTCCAGCGCTCGTTCTTGAGCTGCTTCCCGGCCCAGCAGCCAGTCCCGGCCTGGCTAGGGATGCGTGGGATGACTTCCTGCGTGCTCTTCATGTTTAACCTTATTTGAGGTTAAAACAAAGCAAGGGGCCTTAGGATAGAGCTTGGCAGTAGAAGGCCAGCAGGTACAAGGCCCTGGTTGGTCAACACTGAGGGGCGGGGGTGAGGGTAGGGGACAAAATTGTTCTTACTGCATAATACTTGGGTTATTGAGTCAAGGTGAATTATGATTTTTATAGCTATCTAGGTTTTTAGTAAAGGTTCAGTTAATAAAGGATTTTTCTTCTAGCTTCAGTGAACTCAAGCAAGGTGAGTAACCTAATACAGACTGAGTTAAAAACCAAGGCTCTGTGGAGTTCGTTTCTGGCACTGAGTTTATGACACTCGAAGAATCCGATTTGTTCTTATTAATCAGATGCTGATAGGGCAAGATTTTATAAGCTTTATTGTGTGCGTGCGTGCGCACGCATGCTCACATACTGGGGAATTAAACAACTCTATGAACATCTGACAGCCCTTCCCAAAATTCTGTCAGTCGGGTACTTTCTGTCCCCAAAACAAGTCATCATAAAAACAGTTCCCCTGACTTCTATGGTGATGATCTGGAGGCCTGAAATAATAACGCAAGAGGCCACTGTGTTGAACTGTAAATAGCCTGAGAGGTACTTGAAAACTGGACAAGAAGGGGCCGCTCCCTCACTTCCTTGGTATTTTCTCTGAAACACGCAGCACCTATTCCCTTTTCTTCCCGCATTCCTCTTTGTTTGAAGAGAGCAGCTGCAGCACCAGTGACTGCTAGAGATGGAGCCTTCGTCTCATTAGACTCTCGCTCCTTCCCACTGACATCAGTGAGACCTTGGCCAACACCAGCATCTTAGTGCTGGGTCCTGCAGAGCTGCAACACCAGACAGAATCTTCCATGTCTTCACTGCGTAGGTTAAAATGCAACAGTCTCTCAAGGCTGGTTAAGAGCGTTCACTGCTCGCTCTTGCAAAGATGGAGCTTCAGGACTCAGCAGCCACTTGACAGCTCCCAGACATCTGTAACTCCAGTTCCAGGGTATTCAACACCTTCTGGCCTCTACAGACACTACACATTCAGTGGTGCACAGACATACACGCAGACAAAACCCTTACACATACAATAAAGACAAAAGAAATCTGTAAAATCTAGAAGAGCCTATTTTTAAAATAAACTCTAGCTAACTTACTCCTGAGGCCGAGGCTTCTCTGGTCTGTCTGGACTGCATCTTCAGAGCTCTTCATCTTCACGGTGGGGTGGGATGACCTCAAGGACCTTAGTGGCTCACCAGTATACTAACGAGGAGGCTTGATTCTTTGGGACAGCCGGTAAGCCATTTGTAGCAGCAGATAGTAAGCACCCATGCAGACCTGAGCATAAGTAAGAGACTGGACTTTCTGTGAATTGTAAAATTACAGGTAGCCAACACTGACCAAGTTTTTACTGTGTGCCAGTCTTTGCACTGTTGTGTGGTTAGTCTTTGTCTGTGCGGCGAGGTTGATACTATTACTGTTACGTTAAAGAGAGGTCACTGGTGCCTGCAAAGGGCACAGAATCCGCCCACCGTAGCAGAGAATCGTGTTTGAGCAACACTGCCTTGCTCTAGTCCTAAAGTTGTTCAGCCATGCTGTTTCCTTGAATGAACAGACTGGCATGGGGAAAGATGGCAAGACATCTTATGTCTGAAAACATCAGGTGGTAAGTTGATTTCATTTTAGTGTTTATCAGTTATTACTTGCATTTAAACATCTAATTTTTCATGTGGATTCCTAATTCATTTTAGTAGATATTAGAAACTAATACCCTAAAGTAGAAAACTATTGCAGTCTTTGTATTTTGTTGGTCACAGATATTAAAATTGGAACCCCTCAAAAAGAGTCAGGATTGGGATTTTATCCACTTCAGGTTACAGTCTTGGGTGTGCTGAGAGCTAGCAGATTGGTTTAGATTTCCTTGCTTTTGTTTGGTTGAACTCACAGAGCTCTGCCTGCCTCTTTAGTCAGATCAGAAATAATTACCAAAAATAGATTAGTTGCTCGCCAGGTTAGTATGTGTCTGTGGCTGGTGTTTCTCCTGCAGCCGCTGCTGCTTCTCTGTTGCCCTCACCCATTCTTTACACGTCTCAGTTTATAGAAAGTCGAGATTCTTTGACGGTGAAAACACAAGCGGATACCCACCTCGAGGATATACTAGGCGAGAAGACATTTCCCTTCCTTCTGTCCCACTGATATTTTGGGGATATAGTGGTGAAGAGCTTGCCTGGCATGTTCAAGGCCCAATGCTTTGAGGGTGAGGGTGGGAGATGAGGGAGGGGTATCTTGATTACCAGGAAGGTTGATAAATTCTCTCAGTAGCTGATTATTGGATTTAGCGCCACCCCCCTTGGAAATGCATGCCCACGTAAATAGCCTTTCCAGGGCTGAACCAGCGAGGGCAGAAGGCTATCTTCTTCCGGGACCCGCAACCCAAAGGCTGTAATTGAATGTGAGGACGTGTTTAGACTTTGCTGTGCCAGGAGCTCACATGGATTGTAGGCGCTTCAGGTTAACTGTTGGCAAAACTGGCCCAGGAAGGGTGGTGGGTGAGTCTTAAAGGACTGTAGGGCACCTGAAAACAGGGGCTTCTGTCCTGCAGTGATATTGCGTCAGTGCGTGGACTTCGTTTGCAAGTGCTTAGACCTGGTCGCATCCACCAGCTGCATTTAACCCATTGCAATTCCACAGAAAGATCTTGGGCTTTGAAGAGGTCCTGGCTTGAATCCTAGTTCTTGTGTTGGTTCAATTGTAAGCAGTGTTTCTGAGCTGTGGTCACATACTTGATCATGTATGTGTACATGTGTACTTATGCATGCATGTATGCATTCAAATTTTAATGGAAATGTCAAATAGATAATATTTCATGCAAAATCTTTAGTGAACTGTCTGGCACACAGTAATATACCTGATAAGGGTAAGGTGCAATTAGTAACATCAGGGCATTTGCTTCTTCTGACTTTGATCACCTTTGACTTTTGGGGAGCGGCAGTGGAGGGGAGAGACAATACTGAGAATTGAACCTGGTCCTCATGCATGCTAGGCAAGCATTCTACCATTGGACTATAGCTCTATCCAATCTTTGGCTGTTTGGTTTACACGTGTATGTGGTTGCAGGACATGTGTATATGTGTGTTTGTGTGCGCGTGCATGGAGGCCTGAGGTTGACATTGAAAATCTTTCTTTCTCTCTTTGATTTTTGTTTTTTTCTGGGCTGGTGGTAGTGAGACAGGGTCTGGGTCTCTCAGTTGAACTCAGAGCTTATGAGTGTAACTAATCTAGCTAGCCTGCTTGCTCTGGGGATCCCCGTCTCTGGAATGCTAGAATCTCGGGTAGTTCACCATGACCACCAGCATTTATGTGAGTTCTAGGGATCTGAACTCCAGCTCCCACTAAGCACATTGTCCACTTGTTACCTCCCTAGCCAGCAACATTTGAGTCTTCATTGACTATGAGTTTCCTCTTCCACCCAGGTCAAAGTCATGGATAAGGAAGTAAAAGGCAGCTATCCCATTGGACGAGTAACTAGTGAGTAAGTTACTAAAGTTAGGTGCAGAGTGTCGTGTCCTATTGCTGTACATGATGGAGAACTGACTACATGACCGTTCATAGCAGCAGTCTCCTCTTCATCATGACCAGATCACACGGGATGGATTCTACACCATCAATGTTGCAGTATTAACCCTTTCAAGGCATCAGTATCTACTCACAGTAAAAACCAAAACTACCCTAAAACGCCCCCCAGAGTTACTGATCCCACACAATGGGGAGACTTGGGAGAGTTTACTATTGCCCAGTTACAAATTAGATTCCTATTCAGAACACTTGAAAGTTTGCAAAATTGTAACTTTTCCCATTGTCTTTCCTATTTCCCATCGCCCCTTGTTGCCATTTCAAAAGTTTGCCCCATTGAATTCATGTCATTGTCATCATATTTCAGTACTGCAGCAATTGTGAGCTCCAAAATAACCCTCATCAGACGCCTCTTCCTTGATAGACGTTCTTGTGTGTGTGTGTGGGGGGGGTGCCTGCAGAGATCAGAGGAGGTTCTCACGTTGACTTCCACCTCCGACCTTGGGTCTGTCCCCTCCCCAGTGCCTGCTGTCAGCAATCTTCCTGGAGCTCTGAGGACTAAAGGGGAGCATCTGTTAGAGTGCGGCCATGGTGCCTGACCGCAGGAGGTCGCAGGATGCAGGTTCCTGCTCTTTCCTTCCTGCACTCAGTGTTGCCCTTTTCTTGTGCTTCCAGGATGTGCTGCTGAGGGAAGACAGTGGCTTTGGTTTTGTGAAGGACCCATGTTGTGTGGCTGGCCCTGGATCTAGGTATGTATGTGTGTGGCAATAGAGGGTGAGAGGGTTGAGCCCTGTACACTGTGGGAAAGAGCTTGAAGGTTCCTGAAAGCCTTAAAAACTGAGCTAGCATCGGATCCAACAGAGGCTCGCGTGCGAAGTTCATAGCAGCACTGTTTACTGTTGACAGTAGTCAGAGATTGTCAAAGACTCAAGTCTCCATCGGGAATGGCTGTGTAAACAGAGCGTGGTGGCGACAGCGAGAAGAAATCTGTCATGTGTGAACCTGGATTATATTAGCTAAATGAACGAAGGTGCTTTGTTTTTACCCTAAAATTATTCCTGAGAAACAGTCACCATGAAGAAGCTCAATCAAATGAAACATTGAACTTAAATCCTGCTTCCAAATGATAGTATGGTGAGCGAGGCCAAAGATAAACTAAAAGTGTCTAAGTTTTGAATTTACTCCTTAGTGGGTATTCTATCATTTTGTGTTTATGATGTACGTCCAGAGGCTTTTAAAGGGGACATCATCACACAGACTAATACAGCACCTATTAAGGATACAGTCTCAGACTTAGACACTCACCACACTAACATTAAATCTCTGAAAGCAGGCAAGGCGGGCCTAGAGGTTGCTAAGTATTGTTTGTTTGTTTTGTTTGTTTGTTTGTTTTGAAAAAGATTCTCTCCCTGTAGTCTAGGAATTTGCTAGCTACCCCAAAAACTGGAACTTTGAGTCCTATCTCAGTCTCCTTAGTGCTAGGGGGCTATAGGTGTACACCACACCCAGCTAAGATGCTGAATGTAAAACAGCTCCTGTCCTCCAGTTTGGCCAGTGACTGGGCAGAGGACACACCATTCTTTCGTCAGACATGCATCGACGGCACTTTCTGCTAGGTGCTAGGGATGCCAAACTGCACGAACAGACGGAAGATGCATTCCCAGAGGACCTGCCTCAATCCACCAGAGGTGCAGAACAGCCCAGGGGTGTAGCAGGGTCCCTGGAGAAGGTCTGTCATAGGGGTGGTGAGAAGCTCCATCTGAGCAGGAGAAGCTCTTCACTCAGGCATCTGTATCTAACAAAAGTAAAGGCACACGCATGACTGTGATTCTCCGGCCTGCCTCTGTTCGCTGCTGTGTACTTGCCTGGCCCCGTAACGGTTTCGTGGTGAACTGCTGCGGATGTATGAGAGAGCCGTAGCTCCATCCGGGGCCTCGGGTGGGCTAAATGAAAGATGTCATCTGCTCTCCAGGTTTCCTTCCACGGCCAGCTGGGAACTGCAATACGGAACTCAGAAATGACAGGGTTTGCTAGAGCTTGTCTTTTCAATCCACACATTACCCGCTGCCTCACAGGTCCAGGCTGCAATATTCCAGACTTTCTCCCTTCTCCCCCCTGCACTCTCTCTTCTCACCTCTTCCCTCCACCTCTGTATACACGTGTGTGGTTTTGTGTGTGTGTGTGTCTGTCTGTCTCTCTGATTTCAGTAGCAAAGGTGACAGGAGTTGTTGGTTGTTGGGTTTCCTTGATGACTACAGACACTTGCTCGAGGCACCATGTAGGGACTTGCTCACTGCCAGCTTCCTGCAGAGAATTAGCTCCTTAGGTGGCATCTCCCTCCTTTTTATTGATTTATCCCTCTGTCTTAGGGAATGAGGACACTGAGAGACTTGGAGAACAGAGAATGCTATAACCAAACCTGCAGACTCAGAAGCCGTGCAGATGCTCCCCCCAGGCAGACCCTTTCCTTGGGGTGGTTCGGGGAGAGAGTGAGGCATCAGGCTTTCTCTCAGTTTCTTTCAGAGACCAGAGCAGCTCCCCAAAGTGGTCCCAAAGGAGCTGAAGACTGTGTTCCTTCTTTTCCTTTATTTCCTATAGCCTGTGTTCAGAAGCTGCCTTCCCTGTGTGTCCTGGCAGGAGCCTGGGCTGTGCGGGAGGGTTGGGAAAAGAAGGGCTGTGCTGGGACTGCCTGAGGGAGCTCTGCCCGTCTGCCCTGTTTACCTTAGTTCAGGAAAAGTATTCGGCTTCTGGGGTGAGGGCCTCACCCTGTTTCTGACACTTGGTGTTTGCCCTTTGTGTAGCGCTCTAACCCTTGGGTCTGTGCCTCGTTCCAGGTCTGCCAGTTGCTCAGACAGAGGCCAAAAAGAGCCGACGTTGCCCCTACACCGTCCTACCCCTTGCTGGGATGACTCAGGCTGCAAATCCACCGTTGGTTCCTCAGCTCCTACTGAATGTTCTGGAACCCCAGACCATCCAAAGCAGCTTAGAACACCTTGCTCTAGGCCACTTTCAGCAGGAATGCAAGGCCACTTTCTAGATACCAGAGCTGCCTCCATAGCCCCACCCAGCACCCCTCTGCCATCACCTGTCCCCTCCAGTTACCGGTCACAGCTTACCATCGATCAGCAGACTGAAAGGAGCGGTCAGCCTGGACGACAGCCGCTTCCGCCCTCTGCCCCTGCCCTGACCCACAGAAACGATGGCCGTAGTCTGACCCAGCCTCCCAGCCCAAAATGCCATGAGCTCAGCAGCCCAGAGCATGGGCTGGAAGAAGGGATGTGGAAGAGGGCCTCCCTGCCTCAGCGCCCCGCACCACCTTGGACGAAGTGGGCCCATGCAGTCAGGGAAGACAGCTTTTCAGAGGACACCTCGGTGCCTGAGTTTGCAGACCTGAAGCACTATAAAAACCAGAGTCTGCCGAGCTCCTGCAGCACTATGGACCCAGACACTCCAGGGAGGATCTCTCTCCGGATATCCGAGTCAGCCCTGCAGGCTTCCCCACCACCTCGGGGGGACTATGAGGATGAAGTGTTTGTGAAGGACTTGCACCCCAGGGCTGCTTCAAGCCCCACACTTGAAGCTCTTCCCCCACCTCCACCTCTACCTCCTCCACTGAGCCAGGAAACCCTAGTGAACAGCTCAGATGACTTTCCTCCACCTCCTCCCCAAGCCGTGTATGAGGCAGTGCTGGACAGTGAAATGTACAAGGAAGCTGGCAGCAGGTGAGTGCGCAGCTCCAGGCCAGCCTTTTACCGGGGGGGGGGGGGGGGGGGGAGGATAGGGGTTGTCATCCTTCATTCACAGGTGTTCACAGCCAGGGCACCCAGGGAGCCCCATTCTTTATGCTGGCTCATCCCATGAAGCTGGCACCTCCATTCATTCGTTTGCCTTGAGGGGCTAGCGATTATTGTGTATTGAGAAGGGAGGCTCTAAAGAGCCAAGACCCAACTTCTCTTGCCTGACTGAGTTTTGGATCAGTTAAAGAAATAAAAATTAGGGGCTGGTGAAATGGCTCAGTGGTTAAGAGCACTGACTGCTCCTCCAGAGGACCAGGGTTCAATTCCCAGTTAGCTGTCTGTAACTTCCGTTCCAGAGAATCTGACATTGTTATACCAATGCACATGAAATAAAGTTAAATAAAGTTTAAAAAAAAAGAAAAGAAACAAAAATTAGAATTCAGAAACTCAGTTTTATTGCTGGCAGAACAGACAGGGGAGAGAGAATATAACTTCTGTCTGGTCTGTAAGGGTCTCCTGGTACTAAACCCCAGCGTAAGTTTCCCTCCCTAGCCAGCGGCTGCACTGGACACACACAGTCTGGAAGCAGCCTCTCAAACAGAAGGCTGAGCTGTGAGGGTCACCTTCTGTCTGTGGGCACTCTATATCCACAGGGATGAAGGGCAGAGCTACAGTCAGTAGTGTTAGTTAGGGAAGTGATGGCAGCCAGGCCGACGAGGAACAAGCATTTCTCAACACAGTTTGAGACTGGCGATAGCTCACAGAATTCCCTTTGAGGTTCAGCAAAGTGACTCAGTTGGTTAAGCTTGCCACCAAGCCTGATGACCCGAGTTTGTTCCCAGGACCCACATGGTGAAAGGAGAGAACCTGTCCTCTGACTTTCACATACATATACTCTGGTGCACATGCATCCCAAATATATACATGTAGAAATAAAATAAATGTCAAAAAAAAAAAGCAAGAAACAACTCTGTGGGGCCAGGCATTTAATCCCAGCACTAAGGTGGCAGGAGCAGGTGGATCTCTCTGAGGTCCAGGACAGCCTGACCTATATATAGAGAGACTCTGTCTCAGAAACAAACATAAACAAAAATGTCTTTGGGGTAGCATCTTCTGAATGCCACAAAGGTCACCACCACTATTTTCTGTCCATCTGTACCTTCTAGAAAGTTCCAGAGCCCAATAGCAACATTTGTCAGATTGAATTGCTAGTGTCTGAGTTGACCAGCCCTGGGCTCAGGAGAAGACTCCTAGAGCCCCATGGTTTGGAGAGCACTGCAGATGTATCTCCTCACACCACTGATGTGGGAAGCTAGAGCCCTGATGAGAGTCCCTCCCTCACATTTTCTCTGCTCTCACCTTCAGCTTCTGTTGACTCTTCCCTTAACCACACTGTCTTTTCTTTCCCTAGTAGTTCCTGTCAGTTTCCCATGGTGACAGTCTCAAGGGACAGGCATGAGCCTGGTGCAGTCCATTCCGAAGGTTGTCACATAATGACTCCCAAACCACCCCAGACTCCAGCCGCAGGTTCAGAAGCCGAGTCCAACACACCTGCCGACGCGCATGCTCAGCCACAGCTCACCGGTTCTCTCGGCGAGCAGGCCTCTCCCAGCCAGACCCAAAGCCTCATCCATGAGACTGTCGGTAGAACTCAGGATATAGGAAAGAAAATCCATGCCGAGCCCCAGAAGACCTCAGAAGATATCCGAACAGAAGCTCTTGCCAAGGAGATTGTCCATCAAGACAAATCTCTGGCCGACATTTTGGACCCGGACTCCAGAATGAAGACGACAATGGACCTGATGGAGGGCTTGTTCCCCGGAGATGCTGGTGTGCTGAGGGAGAGTGGCACAAAGAGGAGAGCCTTGGAGACAGCCGGCAGACAGACAGGCTGTGAAGCCAAGAGGTACGTCCTCTCAGCTGAAGCCCTGTGGGGTCATGCCTTCTTGGAGCACTTGAGTGATGTGTTCTTACTTCCACAGGTCACTGATCAAGTGTGATGTTCCATCTGAGCTTAGGGTGTGCTCTCAGGATACATGCCCAGCAGCAAAGAGGAGGGCAGTAGAGATCCTTGTCGTTAGATAGGAGGGTTCCCGCTGCGCTGCCCCTGGTCTGCTTGTGTCCAGTCATTAGGAGCCACTGTTCATTTCCCATGGGCCGTGTCTCTTCACGTGAGCCTTATTGCCTCTCACTGTCATGAGCACCTCTGGAACACAGGAATATTAATGTCTGTCCACCAAGGCCCCAGAGTGTGGGTGGGAGCGACTGGATTTGAACCCTGACTCCTGCTCTCTTCACCCATCGTACTGTGTCCCTAACTCCACAAACACATGACTGCCTGTTGTAATAGCAATGCTTTCAGGGAGCTCCCCTAGGCCCGGTGCTGAGAGGGAGCAAGGAGATGCGGGCATATCTGAGGCCTCCACAAGAACAGTGGACAAGTCTTTATGAAAAGGAAAGGAGCGTAGCCAGGCCGTGGTGATGCACACCTTTAATCCCTGCACTTGGGAGGCAGAGGAGGTAGATCTCTGAGTTTGAGGCCAGCCTGGTCCACAGAGCAAGTTCCAGGACAGCCAGGGCTACTCAAAGAAACTCTGTCTTGGAAAAACCACAATGATGATGATGATGATGGTGTTGATGGTGGTGTTGATGATAAAAAAGAGAGAGGCTTAGAGAAATCGATATATATAGGACATTCACTTTCAGGCATTAAGGTGAGCATTTGCTCAAATCCTGAAACTTGAGGTTTCAGAGGGAATGCAGGGCCCCTTAGCCTCTGCTCTGGAGGCTCCCAAGCCCTCCCCTGGTCTTGGAACACAGCTCCAGCACCGGCCACAGCAGGAGCACTGTGAGCAGTGTTTCCCATTGTGTGGATACTTGATTTAAGACTAATTGGAGGAAGAGTAGAGTGGGCTTTATTTTCTTTTTATTTTTCAGTGAAAACTCTGTGAATTGACAGACTGAGACTCAGCAGTAAGCAATTCCAGACCAAATACAAACAGAACGTTTCACCCGGATACGGGTTTGCAGTCTAGAAACTTCCGGCTGATTCTCACTGAATCAGTAGCAGGAATGCCGTGCTTTATTGGGTGAGAGGGAGAAAAGAGCTGTGTGCATAGCGTTCACGTCTGTGGGCCACGTTCTCAGCGCTCTTCTAACTCGAGGCCTCGTGGTCACCCCTCTGCCCCTCCAGTTTTAGATTTGGAGGGCCGAGCCTACCTTAGGTGCGGTAACTTCTCCGCTGTGACACTGTAGCAAGCATCACTGAATACTTGCAGAGTGCAGGGCAGTCTGCTGGGCACCACAGGGCTCCAGGATGGGTCTGCCATGCCGCTCACCGTGGTGTTTGTAAGTGGTCGCGCTGTTACCTGGCTATTTGCTGCACGAAGACCCAAGTCATTTCACAGTGCAGTCTTAGAAAAATGTTACCTTTGAGAGTTTATGTTGAATTTGGTGGTGAAACCTTCAGAAAGATGGCATGCGCCACCTGCTGGTGAAAGTGAGCAGCCCTGCTGTGACAAGATTGAGCATTGTGACGGTGGTCAGATTTGTGAGTGGCCTATGGCACACGAACCCTTCTTTGAAGGCTTTGTCCAGTTTCCTAATCAGCTGGCTTACATGTAGATCAGCCGCTGAGAGGAAATGGGTAAAATGTTTGTCTGCATGGTTCTTTATTCTTGAGTAAAATCACAGGGTCAGAGTTAAATAATAGCACATGATTGAAGAGTTAAGATTTCTCATCAGGAGAACTCAGCTTACTTCCGTGAGACATTTACTCATCAGGCAGTGTCTGAACTGTAATTTGAGCTGCGGTTGTAATGGTAGAACACTTGCTGAGCATGCATGAGGACCTAGGTTCCATCCCCAACTCCTCAAAAAAAAAAAAAATTAATCAGACTATGAAAAAACTCAATTATGGTAAAAACAAATAGCATGAGAGGCCGTGTTTCTCAGTTTCCAGTTGTTTTGGATGCCTTGAGCCTGCCACTGTTTTACTTTAATTCCTTTTCTCCCTCTGCCTCTTTCTTCTTCAATTTCTCTTGAAATGCAGTAGCCTTGGCTGCTTTTAAATTCTTGATCCTCCTGCCTCCACCTCTCAAGTACTGAGATTACAGACAGGCACCGCCATACCCGGCTGAGGACTAGGTTTTGCATTAGTTCACTGTAAAAAACCCCCCAGGCTCCAGATTTCACAGACTTGTAGTGTGGTATGTATGAGGCTTGCTGAAGGTGAAAATGCATGTATTCAAGCATCAGAGAAATTCTGGGAAAGCAAGAAGGGATAGGAAGGGCTGGTATGGTTGTGCCATACCTTGGGCACTCTGTCTCTCTGTGAGATAAGGACAGGGTCGTTATCACAAAAGAAGAATCACGAAGAGAAGCTGCATGACTTGTAGCCCCGATTCCCACTTCTGTCCCCAGCCCTGGTTTCCATCCCGTGTTTGTCTGGCTTTAGGGGCCAGCACGTAATAATCACTCACTGGTAAATAATTTGCTCATCAGCCATCATTCCTGGGAAGAGCTTCAGTAGAAGTTGCTGCACATTCGGAAGGGCCAGATGAGGAACAGCTGCTCTGACCTTGTGCCGTGTGTTTCAGGAGCGATGACAGGAAAGCCGTGGGCATGCTGGTCAGCTGCCCTGCCTACTACAGTGTGTCCGCAGCCAAGGCGGAGCTGCTGAACAAAATCAAAGACATGCCAGAGGCGGAGCCTGAGGAGGAGGAGCAGGAGGACGTCAACGAGAAAAAGGTAGAGTGGACACTTGTGCTATTTCCCCAAAGGTAGTGAAGGTCCTTGTAATGGGCAGGGGGCAAACCTGTCCCATCTGATGGCATTTGTGAGTTCTCAGAGGTCTCCTGTGAGTGGACGGGACAGGTAAGTTACTGTCATTCTGAAAGCAGGCTTAAAGAGGCTGAGTTAGTTATTAAAGATCTCCCAGCTGGAACTGGGCCTCAAGTTCCTGGCACCACACAGCCAGGGGTTCTGACGCTGTTCTCAGGCACCGGTCGGAGTTCATTCACGAGGAAAACTAGAAGCTCTTACATTTTTAATTGGGGAAAGAAGCCAGACCCTTCAAGGACAGACAGACTGACCTCTGTACACCCCCGCAGCTTTCACAGCACCTCAGAGACCTTTAAAGTGCAGGGTTGAAATGTAATCGTTAGCATTTGGTACTTCTACAGAAATTGTAAATGTCGGACAGACATTTTTAAAATAACCCTGCTGTTGTCACAGTCTCCCCACAAACCGTGGAGACATGGGCACGCTGTGTCTGCAGGACAAAGAGCCCTTCTGCTTTTGCCTACAGCCCTCCATAAGTCCAGGCATGCCCCCTGCAAAAGGACGCGTGCAGCTTGCTTCAGTGAGCCTGGGAAGTGTGCGCCTACTTAGTGCGCAGAACATGCCTCTTTCTGGTGTGCTGGCCAAAACCACAGCACGTAGACACATACCCCCCAAAATGAAGAGACTTAAGGGGCACCCCAGAAACAGAGACTTGAGGGCACCCTACCAGATTTTCCCTCTTGCTGCTTTAGCATTGTGAGTTCAGGGCTGTGTGTTGCAACAGCCATTACAACACAGTCTTCAACCAGAGGTTTCTCATTCAGATCCCACTGACTGCCCGTTTTGTGAGTCTTACACCGTCCCATGTGTTGTGCTGTCGTGACATCTTCAACTGAGTGTTGTTCTCTGTCCTGTTGTCCTGCAGATAGAACTGTGCATTACAGTAGCAAAGAAGAAAGTACACAGTGCTTTTTCTCATCTTCATTTTTTTATAAAGACTTAATTATTTTATGTGTATAGGTGTTTTGCCTGTGTAAGTTATGTTATGTATGTATGTATGTATGTATGGACACCACATACATGCCTGGTGCTGTGGAGGTCAGAAAAGTATCAAATCCTCTGGAACGCTATGTGTGTGATAGAAACAGAACCCAGATCCTCTCAGAGAGCAGCAAGTGCTCCTAACTGCCGAGCCATCTCTCCAGCTCTTTTTAAAATGACTTTCATAGGACTGAGTCATCCTCTCAGGAAGTAAATTAGCACTATTTAGCTACGGTCCATGAGTAGGCTGCATAGTTTTGTGTGCTCCCCTAATTTTTCTTTACAAAAAATTCCACCAATACTATATCAGCACATTCTACAGTGACGTAAATGACAGCATTTTCGACTGCTTCACCGCACCGCTTTGGAGAGCAGCCGCTGCTGGCGGGCCTGAGAGGCAGCTGCGGCTCCACGCGCTCGTTTCTGTCGCACTCACTTCTGGCCTCGCTTCCTCTGATCCTGAGAAAGAGTCCTCAGCATCTCCTTCAGAGCAGATCTGCAGTGATGGAGCTTCCGTCTGTGTCCCCAGGACGCTGTCCCTCCTGACGGGTGTTTCACTGGACGTGGAGTTCTGGGCCGACCATTCTCTAGTCTTTCATCTTGTAGACATGTTGTTGCAATGTCCGACAAGTGTGATCTTGTCATGGCTGCGATTTGGCTGTCATCACTTTGCCTGTGGTGTGTGTGCTGTTCTCGAGTCTGGATAGGCAGCTTTCACCACAATTGGCATTTTCAGCCACTATTTCTTTCAATATTTTTATGTATTAATTTTAAATATTTTATGCATAATTAATATTCTCTTAGGAGCACAGTGATACAATATTAGAGCTTTTCATACTGCTCTGAATGAATGAGGCTGTTTGCTTTTTTCCTTCAGTTCTTCAGATTAGATAGTTTCTGTTGGTCTGACCCCAAGTTCACTTTCCTGTCTTCATTTTGCCGGTGGTATTTTTGTTTTTGTTTTTTTTTTTGTTAAGATAGATTTTTTTCTGTATAGCCCTGACTGTCCTGGAACTCACTGTGTAGACCAAGAGATCCGCCTGCCTCTGCCTCCCAACTTTTAGGATTAAAGGCATGAACCCCCACTGCCCGGTTCCCTTAGAGCTTTAGTTGGGGACTTGAGCACTCGGCATTTCTGGCACAGTGCAGTTCTCAGAGCCTGTGCTCTGTTCTGTTTCTCCCTCCATGTACAGCGTAAAGGGGAACCCAGAGGCACCGTGAGTTTCAAGCATCTCTGGTCCAGCGCCCTCCTCTCTAGGTACCCCCTACTCTCTCTCTCTCTCTCTCTGGAAAGACAGGTTCTCCCTCATAGCAACCTATACAGCTGTGCATTCCTTAACGAAAAGAAGGAAATTATAGTGGATCCTCACACCCTAGACCCGGGGTTGCTCCCTCCAGCTCCCAGGAAGGGTTCTGGGGTGCCTTGCGACCACTGTGTGGTGGGCATCCCTCAGTGGAGCCACATTGGACACAGCTGGGAGAGAAGAGAGAGAGAGAAAGCTGAGATTCCCCATACCAGCTCACCTAAGCCCACCCACCCCTCGGGTTCTACTGCTTCCTACTTTACCCTGGGGCTGTTAAGGTGTGACAAGCAGGAGGCTCACCAATGTGGGGTGTTGGTGTGCACCTCAGTCTGCTGCCAAGGCCAGCGTCCCTAATGCCCTCTAGAAATTTGGGCTTTAATTATAACATGCAGAAGAGGGAAGCTGCAGTGAGTTAGTTACGACATCATTGTCCACACCAGAGGCTACCCTCTGGGACTTGGCAGAAGGTAGGACAGACTGGCAATCAGAAAAGTCCCTCCAGAGCAGGTGGGAGCAGGTGCAGTCACTGGACAACACAACAACCAGAGAGCCATTGGGAATATTCTGTTTTTAATGAAATAGGCAGGAGCTCATGGTAGATTAGTGTAGAGGGTGGAAGAGAAAGGGTGATCGGATGACCCCCAGCTCCAGGTCGCTGTGCTGACGGGGACAGCTAGGACACTGGGAAGACAGTTGACCTTGCAGATTCATTACTGTTCCTCCATCTTATCAGACCGTAACTGGCACCAAGGGACCACCGCAAATAGATATGATGACATTCCAGTCATAAGCCTCCTGGAGGAGAAATGGGGAAAGATTCCTGGCTGGAGGAGGTTTGACATTGCCATCAGACCCCATGACCTCGCAGGTCAGGTAGAGTGTGATGGAGGTTTGGCCTCCTAAGTCGGAAACTGCCCCAACTTTCTAAAGCTCAGCCAAGACAGAAGTAACACGCAGTGTCCCGGATCTCGGACTCCACCTGTCCCAGCCACTTGGCCAGTGGTGCTGAGTTTTTCTTGATGAAAAGAGCCATCAGAAGGCTGTTGTTCTGTAATGATTTAGGGAATGCTGCCGGTACAAGCCCTCAGAGCAGGAGGCCGGCAGTTCTGCCACATGGGGAGGCTGGGTACTGCCCTCCAGCCATCCACTTTCTTTAGACTATGGCCTGACCTTGTCAGAAAGCAAGATGTGTCTGGTATGTTTGTTTTCCAGTGTGCTCACACAAGCTCTCTTTCACCTGAACCTCAGAACATCCCTGGGAGGTATCTGAAAGTAGTCACTGAAGTCTGCACCCTGGCTCTGCCACTTACTACATGAGCATGTTCCGTCCCCTCCGTCCCCTCCTGTGCTTATATCGCTGACACTGGGGTGATACCTGTGCTCTTGGGTTTCCGAAGCAGTGGTTGAGCGGTGAGCTGTTTGTTCTGCCTGGCACAGAGATGGCACAGGCCAGGTGACCAGCTGGCAGCAGTCATGTCAGAGCTGGTCCCTGACTCCGTCTGTTCGTCTGGTGACGAGGGAGAGAGGCCCAGCAGGATGTTCGTGTGCAGATGGTGAGATGGGAGGGAGGCTGTGTTGAACTATGTTTAGAAAAAGAACCCATATAAATAGCATCTCACACAGCCAGAGTTAGCAGTTCGTCAGACGAGAAGCCAAGAGGGTAAATGTCAGAGGTTTACATATTCAGTAGCTCCCGCGAGAGAACAGTCTCTCGGGCTGAGGTTAAGAGCACTTGTTGGTTTTGCGTGACCTAGGTTCAGTTCTCTGAGCGCATGCTAAGTGTCTCGCAGCTACCTGTAACTCCAGCTCTAGGGGTCTGACAGTCTCTGCCCAAAGGCACCTGCACACACACGGTGCACAAACCTAAGGCAGGTACACGCATAAATAATGTTTGAAAAAGTCCTTCCCTCCTCCCTTTTCCTGCCCTAAGTGAGTTCTATTGAAGTTGGCTTTTTGTTGTTTTTAAAAAGATCTTCCTGGCAAAGAAATGGCTGCAGCACAGCCAGCTTTCCCTTGGCTCTGTAGTTATTCAGACCCTCTTCCCTGCGTTCACAAACCCAAGTCTCTGTAATAAAGACTTGGGAAAATGAGGGGGAAAAAACATTCCCATGAGGCAGGAGGGACTGGGGTGCCTGCTCAGTAGTCCATGCTGTGGTGTTCATAGGCTTCTGTGGTGTCTACCTGTGGCTCTCTCCAGCATCCACGCCTTTGAAAACCACGGCTGGGTCTGGACAGAAAGACCCAGCAGACTAGACGTGGAACCTGGCCCTTGACCCACATATGAGTCCCTGTGCACCGAGCAGTGTACCCCACAGACTAGACGTGGGCCCTGTGCACCAAGCAGTATACCCCACAGACTAGACGTGGGCCCTGACCCACACGTGTCCCTGTGTACCGAGCAGTCACCCCAGCAGCAGCACTGCCCACTGCATAGGGCCGGCGAACTAGCAGAGTGTATCCCCACCCCTTTACCATCAGACGGGTCAGGGAAAAGTGCCCGTTTGTGCTGGAGTTTGCTCATGAGCAGAGTGGTCATTTTAACATTTGACCTTTAAGATACCAGTTCTGAGAACAAGGATGAGAATTTGGAGGAGGTGGGTATGTGTCAATTAAGTCATCAAAGCACTTTTTAGTTCCCTTCAGGAATAATGTCATAAAATGTTAGATCCTAAGGAAGTTATATTTATAAAATAATAAAAACTGAAGTTGTTAATCCTTTTTCTACAATTATTTGTTTTAAGCATTTTTCTAGAAATTTTACAACCTCAGGACAGGAGTTTAAAACATGCCAAAAATCTGGGCAAGCAGAACGCCTTTTTTTTCTGTAGAACAAAGTGTTTTAGACAAAATTCAATTTCTTTTTCTAATTATAGGATGGACGTGTATAGTGTATGTCTAAGGCTCATGCGCCACGGCATGCAGGTGGTGGTTCAGCAGCTTTGTAGGATCGCGCTCTCCAGGGCTGGGTCTGGACAGAAAGACCCAGCAGACTAGATTTGGGCTTAGTTTTTGTGGACTCCAGATACTCAGGTTGCTAGGCCTGCTTGGGAAGCCCCTTAACCTGATAAGCTGTTTTGCTGACTTTATATTTTCTTTTTTAAAAATATTACAGTACTTATTTGTGTATAATGTATTTGCTCAACAGTACATACATTTGGAGATCAGCTGACAACCTGAGAGAATCTGTTCTCTTCCTCAACTCGGGCGGGGGACCGTGTATTAGTCAGGCTTGGTGGCGAGCACCCCCATCTGCTGGGGCATCTTGACCACCCTGATTTTTTTTTCATTTTTTCTTTTCTGAGAGGTTTTGCTGTGCAGTCATAGCCTACCTGGAGCTTGAACTTGCAGCCGTCCTCTGCATCTCCCTTCCAAGTGCTGGGATTACAGGATTACAAACATGCCTGGCTAAATGCCGTGTTGGCTGGTAGCAGGGTGCCTGGCAGCTGCGCTCCACAAGGTTAGGAACACCAGGGCTGCCGCCTCATGGCTGTCGGCCATTCTCGTGCCGTAGTGACATCCGGCAGGGATGCACTGGACAGCCTGACGGTGTCTGCTGCCCTCTTCTCTTCATGTGAGCGAGGTTACCCCAGTTCAGCATTCCCTAGGAGGCAGTTCTGGAGTTACGAAGATGCTTTTCGGGGTGGGGCAGTAGAGAAGGTGATTATCCTTAAGTAATGTTCCCTCCCTTGTGTTTCCTGGGCTCAGAGCCTTCAGCTGAGGAGTGAAATGCTTAGACACTGCGTAGCTTTTCCACTAGAAAGGCAACCCTAGTCATGGGGATCAGGAAAGTTGAAAGGACAACAGGGTGTCCCTATTCAAGCCAGAGTGTGGGCATTTTAAGACTACGTGAGCTGCTGGCTCCCGGGTGGCAGGTCACTTTTTGGGTCCCTGGGAGCGTGTTCCTCACCCTGACTGGGATTCAGAGCAAAGCGTTAGTTTCACTGCCTCCCCCCACTCCATTCCCTTGTATTCTGAGGCTGGGCATAGTGTTGATGCCCATAATCCCAGCACTCAGTAGGCAGAGGTGCAAGTTCCCAGCAGTACTGTCTACATAGTAGCTTTGAAGCAAAGCTGGGATACTTATAGTAAGACCCCCAGGGGCTGTAATCAACAACAAAATAGAGTATGAAATATTGGAATTGGGTGCTTAAATTGCACAACCATGGTAACTAAATCCAGATATAGTTTGTAATGATTATGTGGGGATAGCCCCTCTGACGATGCGCTTGCCTTAGGAGGCCCCTCCCCAAGCCTCTCGCTCCCCTGCTGTATGTGCTGGACTAGCATCTGTGAGCTAGTGGAGACTGGTCTGTGTGGCATAGCACACAGTAATTGTGCACAAAGGTCAACTGATACTCTGCTCTCAGCCCACAGGCGGTTCCCTTCACTCCTGTTTGGTGGCTTTTCTGTAAGAGAGGATGTTTGCCCTGCCCCTGCCTTCCAACTCGTGGTATTATACCCAGCAAGAAATGTCACGAAAGGACCTTGAATGAGAAGTTAACAAACCAATGGGAACAAGAGAGCTGTGTGCACCATGAGACAGTGGGGAAACATGACCAGGCAATGTGTAATCAGGTGTTGTCCTGTGAACGCTGAATAGGCTCAGAGAATGGCAGTTGTAGACAGGCATTCAGGGAAAGGCCAGAAAAATGTTCTGATGTTGAGTCACTGGCCCTTGTGGAGCAGGGGAGCTTTTAGCTTAGCCTTGAAGGCAGGATGGGGCTAGGGGTGTCAGTCGCCTGATGTGGGTAGCTCTCCTGTTGTTGCAGGCTGAGCTCATCGGAAGCCTCACCCATAAGCTCGAGATCCTCCAGGAAGCAAAGGGAAGCCTGCTCATGGACATCAAGCTCAACAATGCCCTGGGCGAAGAGGTCGAGGCCCTGATCAGTGAGCTCTGCAAACCCAACGAGTTTGACAAGTACAAGATGTTCATCGGGGACTTGGACAAGGTGGTCAACCTGCTGCTCTCGCTCTCCGGACGCCTCGCCCGAGTGGAGAATGTCCTTAGCGGCCTCGGTGAAGATGCAAGTAAAGAAGAAAGGGTATGTGACCTAGCGGATTGTCCTCTATGCCTGTGCCCACAGAGAGGAGCCAGGAGACACAATCCCTTCTCTCAGATGCCGATCACCATGGAGCTGAGGGAACGCCTGCTGTGCTGACACCTAGGGAACTAGATGCACAGGCGCCAAGTTTTCCTTCTCCCTCCTTGCTTCCTCAAGGAGACAAAAAGGGTGTTAGATGTTTAGAGAAAGGAGAGACAGGATATTGCGCAGACCTCTGAGAAAGGCCCCAGAGCTGTTGGGGTGAGGGGGCAGGCTGAGCTCCAGGTCATCTGCATGAGGGCCCAGGGGGGCGTGGATACACTAGCGGTGTCCCTCCTGCTCTCTGCCTGGACAGACACTGCCAGTGTCTCATGCTTCGTGTGTCGTGTCCTGCATCTTTACCATGCAGCACCAGTGGTTGGTCTCTGTGAGAAACTAAAAGTATCAGTAGGGAAAAGAGAAAAGGTGACCCAGTAAGTCCCCACATCGAGCTCATCCATCCACTGGGCTGGTAGAGGGTAGGGAGGAATGCCCGCAAAGCTTCAGAGTCTCCAGCTCTTTATCTGAGACCCAGGCAGGAAGTGTACGGCTTGTTTAATTCAGTGTCCAGACTGTATTAGGTCTTTCTGATTGGGGAAAGAATTGTAAAAATGAATATACTTATAAAATTCAAATTTTGGTTGTTTTTGTTCTTTGAGACAGGGTCTCACTGTGTTTGCATAGCCCATGATTCACCTTTTGACTCTAGACTGCTCCTAGGCAGTCTCAGAAATCCTCCTAAAAGCTGACTGGGTGTGGTATTGCTGGTGCACACCTTAGTCCCTTGGAGAGGACAAGGCAAGCTGAGTTCCAGGCCAGCCAGGGATACAAAGTAAGACCCTGTCTCAAATTTGGAAAATTTGGGGCAGAGTCACGTGAGCCTTTAATAATCCTAAATAAGGTCATTTAAGTCACCGTACTTCGTGATTGAATTCCATCTTACATTTTCTCAGTCATTTTAGCCTGAAAAGTCTAAAAACTACTTATTTAAAATTAAAAAAATTCTCGGCATTTATATTGTGTCATCATGGCAGATGCGAGACAGGTGAAGCGCCTCTAGAAACAGCGCTGAGGGAGCGAGGCTGCTCGCCCCTGGATGGGAGGTAGCACCCTTGGTGGAGGACTGTAATTCATGGCTAGAGGCCCTGAGGCAGCCTGGGCTGGTGGGGGTGACTCTTTAGAGAAGGGAATGGGTTCCTGTGTTATGGTGGGGGCGGGGAGGGGGCTCAAACCTTCTACAGTTGTTTATTAAAGACTCACCAAGAGGTCCTGTTAAAACACAGATTTCAGGGCCTTCCTGCAGAGGTTTAAGATTTTGAGCTTATTTTAATTTTATACTAATGGCTGTTTATGTCTGCATGACTCATGCATTTCCTGAAGAGAGCATGGGGATGCCCTGTTACTGCCATGTGGGTGCTGGGAATCGAACCCTCTCAAAGAGCAGTCGGTGTTCTGAACCACTGTACCATCTCTCCAGCCCCCTGCAGAGTTTTTGATTCAGTAGATAGATAAGTGGCTGAGAATCTTAAGTACTCAAGAGAACTTGAAAATGAAGTCTAAGTGTAGACCTTGAAAGGATCAGGTTGTCCCCACGACCACTTCTGCGCCAGTGTTCAGAAGGATAATAAGCCTTAAAGCCCCATCCTTACACTGTTGGTAGAGAGGGATCTGCAGTCCTGTCCGGGAGCCTGGACTATCTTCTCCTGTGTTCTGACTGACTGCCCTTTTGCTTTACCCTGGCAGAGTTCTCTGAATGAGAAGAGGAAGATCCTGGCTGGGCAGCATGAGGATGCGCGGGAGCTCAAGGAGAACCTGGACCGGAGGGAGCGCGTGGTGCTGGCCATCCTGGCCAATTACCTGTCGGCTGAGCAGCTCCAGGACTACCAGCATTTTGTGAAAATGAAGTCCACACTCCTCATCGAGCAGCGGAAGCTGGATGACAAGATAAAGCTGGGCCAGGAGCAGGTCAAGTGTCTGCTGGAGTCTCTTCCCTCGGACTTCAGGCCCAAGGCAGGGGCCATCTCCCTGCCCCCAGCCCTCTCCAGCCATGTGACTCCTGCGGGGGGTTCTGTGGGGAGCTCTGTGCTCAGAGGCGGTTTCCCAACGTTGACCTCTCCACTTTAACCTCTCCTGAAAGACCCAACCAAGAGATGCCACGCTCAACACTATTTAATCTAAAGATGTCTCGCTGCGACTGCAGTTTGAACTGTGGGTTACTGGGGCGCTTCCGGGGTAAAAGGAAGGGACTGTATCCCAGAAGAAGCCCGTCTTCCCTGTCTTGCCTTTCACGGTTGGTCTTCTGAGCTCGCATGCTACCGGGACCTTCCCACTCTGCATTCACAGAAGGAAAGTTAGTGACACTGGCCTGGTGGGGGTGTTTGACCGTGCAGGTTTCACAGGCTGGAGCAGAACTGTGTGCCCCCTCAGGAATGAATCCGCAGTGGCCTTCCTTGCTTATGACAGGGTGCAAGCACCAGACTGCGCCCCAAAGCCTTACAAAGACACACACATTCAGAAAACTGTAAAACCTTGAACATTTTTGTTATTTATGTTTTGAAAAATGAAACAGATCATTGTTTGTGTGCTAACTCTCATTTGATTCTGTTTTGTGGTGGATGTAGAGATTTCTGTGAGCTTTGTATTTTGTGGAAACCTTAATGAAGAATTCCAAAGATAGATTGTATATGGAGATTCTTGTGAGTTTTTTCTTCTGGGCTTGTCTGAGTTTTTAAAAATCTATTTCGTGTGTATATATTTGTATATAAACATGCTGTGGTCTGTGACGTGTGGGCGGATGTGACTGTCTCGGTGTTCGTGTAGAAGGTAGACAGCTGTGGGCTCTGAGGGTGACCTTGGGTCATCAGACTGTGTCACAGGTGCTTTTTACCTGCTGAGCCCTCTCTCCGGCCTCTGTCTGACGTTTATAGACCGGTGGTCACCTACACGTGTGCTCCCTGGGTGAGAGGTCCCGCTTCCCGCGGTGCTCAGGTCTTACCACGTTTCTCCTGTATCAAACAGAGAAGGCTCTGTGCGGCCCAGTGATGACTCCTCAGGTGACATGTCGTCTTCACCAGTTTATTAACAGAGACAGCCGTTCTCAGACCTGTAAGAAATGAGTCCAGATTCTAAGCTGGGTCAAAACTGCCATCCCATGCAGGCTGTGGGCTAATCGTGCTTACTTAGTGAGCCACATAATCTGGATGTTTTAATATTTTTTAAAAGTTGGTTTTCCAAAATGTAAACCTGGCGATTATGAGGAGCCGATTTCTGCTGTCATGTTTCAGTGAGAGCTTGTGAGTGGCCCGAGTCTATCAAAACCTGAAAGATGCCTTCAGTGAGAGCGGGTACGGGACTCTATGGCCTGAGGTCTAGGTCTATTCAAACAAATCAGGATGAGATCAGCGTTACGGGCCAGGAGCTCGGCTGTGCATAGCCACTGGAGAAGGTGATACACCACAAACTGGTTTTGCTTGCTGGTAATGTAGAGGCCACCCAACAGTTTCTGGCCAGCAGTCAGCCAAAGCTATTGCTTTGTGCTGTGGCGCTTGTCTACGGTGCTCGTGCACTGATCCAAGGAGGCCAGCATTTTCCCAGGGTTGTGTTCAAATGCTTCTCTCTCCATCCAAAGGGACCATCATGACTCAAGACGCCAGAGAGCGTATTCACCAGCCACGCTACACTGCACGGTTATTTTGGAGTTAATATAGACCGCCCAACTGACATTTTCTCAGGTGTGTACCGCTCAGAACTAAAAGCCGTGCCTGTGGGTAATTGTCTTTCTCAGCAAATGTCCACAGATGTTCTCAGTAGAAGCCTTGGAGGAATTCTGGAGCTCCTAGGACCCACACGGGTGGTGAGGTGGCTCAACAGGGCAAGGTCCTTGCTGCCAGGCCTGACAGCCTTGAGCTCTGTCCCTGGAACCCTCACAGTGGACATTGATGGCCAACTCTCCTGCATGTCGTCCCCTGAGCCCTACACATATGCTATAGCACATGGGTGTGCACACACGTGCAGTAAGTAAATGCAAGAAAACGTGCTTGCTTTGCAGGCAGAAGTTCAAACCCTAGAACCCACTAAAAGCAGCAGGATATTGAAGCATGGTCCCTGACCCCAGCTAGCCTGGCTTATTTGTTAGTTCCAGGCCAGTGAGAGACCCTGCTCCAAAATACAGGGTGGTTGGCACCTGAGAAGCACCTAGGGTTGTCCTCAGGCCTCCGTGTGTTCAAATACAAACACTGCAAGCTTCAACTGGTGCCGGTCCACACACTGATGGCTTCTGTTTTAGACATTTAACTTCACAGCATGATATCTGTCCTGCTGCTGCAATCAACATCCTTCCCCTGTCAAAAGGAAATGAGTGAGGTACCCGGTGAAACCTAGAAATCTGATTCTTAGAGGGATGTGGCCTTCATTGATGTTGGACTTAACCACCCCCGCCCCCGTGCGTTGGAGAAACCCCAGCTAGAAACCCTGTGTTTTCAACCCTTATAACTCTCATTCTTTTCTATTAAAAAAATCATTTACTGTAGAAGCTTCCAGCAGGGTCCCAGGCAGAGGCAGTGAGGACGGCACTCACAGTCACACCACCCCTTGGGGCTTCAGATGTGCATGTGTCACAGTGTTCTCTCATTGTGACTTCAGAGACTCACTTCCTGCTCACACCAGGTGTGGTTGTGTTTAGCGTCCTGAGAGTGCACCAGAAACCTGGAAGTTCCAGGAAAGGATGTGACCCGTGACCGGGGATGTTCCCGGCCTGTCGCCACAAGCCAGCTGACTCAGCCTCCTGTTTCACCCAAAGAGTGAGGGAGGGGCCTCGGAGTCATCGAAGACACCAAGCAGGGTTTCCTTTGCTCTGGGGGAATGCTTAGGTTTCACTTTGTACAGCTGGTTTCCAAACAGAAAAAATAGCCAGCTCGGGCCAAATTAGTCGCTGCCATTGAGGAGAGGAAGCCAGGCTGGCTTCTGCTCATTTTCTTGTTTGGCTTCTTAATATCTGATCAAAACGCGTAGTTGAAAAGGATGTATATGCTTTGAACGATACATACTTAACAGATTAATAGATCTGTTTTAAAGTGTATCTATCGCCGGAAGGTGGTGGTGCACGCCTTTAATCCCAGCACTCGGGAGGCAGAGGCAGGTGGATCTCTGAGTTCGAGGCTAGCCTGATCTACAAGAACTAGTTCCAGGACAGGCTCCAAAGCCACAGAGAAACCCTGTCTCGAAAAACAAAACAAAAAAGTGTATCTATTGTTCAAGAATTTCATATGTGTAAATTATATATTTTTAATTTTATTCTCCCATTCCCTGCTCCAGCTCTCCCTGGACTCTCTCCATTCAACCTCCTTTCATAAATTCTGTGTCCCTTTAAAAAATAATGATTCACTGGCTCCAATTAGTGCTGCCCATGTGTGCATGGGGATCAGGCAGCCTAGCAATGGCGACACCCTCAAAAAATGGCTGCCTCCCACCCTGCCACCACCAACAGCTAATAACTCCTCAGGATTAAATTACCGGTTTTGTCTTTCTGGATCCTTAGGAAAATACTGTGTTTTAATTCTTGTGTTTCCAAATTCACTGCTCTCTGGTTTTACTTTCCTTGATACTACTTAGCGTTGGCGTGCTAATTCAGAATTTTCTAATTATTTTTTGGAGAAACGGGTTTTATTCACATTATTACCAGAAAGAAGAAACACCATCTGAAGTCACTTCTTCATTTCCAGCAGGTCTGAAGTGACCAGGGGTACGCCAAGACCTTGCCACACAGAAATCAGTGGCGAAGGACATAGCTGCCTTAACTCTGAGGTGGAGCATCGGATAAACAATGACCGTTTCATACCATAGCAGGATACGGGAACTTTTACTTACTCTGATTTTAGATAAAATCTTACAGGAGCCTATTTGTTGCCAACTCATGGTTTCTCAGAATATATCAGGATCCCCTGGGATGCTCATTGCTAAGGCACCAGGCAGGCTGGGCCCTGGGTTTAATACTGTCTCCAGCTCATCCTGGTGCACCTTAACTTGTAAGAGCCTCTGCTATGGCTGCTTGCAGAGTTTCTATCGGTAAGCTCACAAGGCCATTATGAACTGTGAAGTCCCAGATTTTAAAAATAAAAATCACAGAAGTTCAAAGCAATGGCATATTTGCTCAGCTTAGCTATGTTATTTCTATTACTGTTATTGTCTACCCCTGCTTTGATGTAACCCCGAGTGATGACAGGGCTCCCTGCTCCCCATTCCCTCCAGGTGTGTTTTACATTTAAACAAACTAAGCGGGTGGGCTAGCTCACACACACACACACACACACACACACACACACGCACCACAACAATTTCCTTGTCCTGAATGAATGGGTCATTACTGACCTCTTTAGAATTCTTGCTTCCTCTCAAGTCTATGCCACATGAGTTATGACAGTCTAGCACTGAAGCAAAGTGTCCGTTCCCTTTGAGAAGTGAAAAAAAATCTTAAAGCTAGGGAGGAAAACCAGCCTCTGGACTCAACTGGCGCTGCATTTTATAAATTCTCTCTAAACGGGAAGGCAGCTGTGCATTCATGAAAGCATCAGCATTGCTGTCCACTTACACAGTGGCTGAAAGAAGACACATAGCATAGGGACATAGTAAGCAACGAGAAACAAGTGGCCATGGCATACCAGGAAATTGTGTGAACACCCTCAAACTAAAGAATACCCAGGGAGGGTCTGGAGAGATGGCTCAGTGGTTAAGAGCACTGGCTGCTCTTCCAGAGGTCCTGAGTTCAATTCCCAGCAACCACATGGTGGCTCACAACCATCTGTAAGGAGATCTGGCGCCCTCTTCTGGCATGCGGCCATACATGGAGGCAGAATGTTGTTTACATAATAAATAAATACATTAAAAAAAAAAAAAGAATACCCAGGGAAAGACAGACCTGAAAAGATGTCCCTCCCCGTGAAGAATGCTCAGACCTTAGAGGACTGGACTTGCCTCACACAGCAGGGAGGTGGGAGCTAGCTCACTTGCATGAGCTAGACCCAGATTGCACTCCACAGGCAAGCGGGAAGCCACAGTGCAGACAAATGCGGTCTGCCAGCACAGGTAACAGACCACGGAAAAGCAGGCCACTCTGGGAGCCCGCTGAGTTTCAGACAAGCAGAATCTGCCAGAACTTGCAGTCAGGAAGCCAAGATAAAGGTCACCACCAGGCTGAGGCTACAGGGTAGGAGGGGATAGATAACCCATATTATAGGATATGGTGGGAGCTGAAAACTCCATTAGATGTCCTCACGGCCACCACGCTGACTTGGTAGGCAGAGGCAAGGATAACAACCTACAAAGCAGTTTGGTTTATAATTTTCCAGCCTTATAATGGTATAAAAATATATTCACTCAACTATTCTGCTTCTTACCTCCAGTATATCATTCAATAAACTTCGTGAGCTGAACACTTACGAAATAGATACTGTGTTAGATGGTTTTTGCCCCAAAGCAGACTAATGTAAGTTTTCTGAGCATGGTGAAGGTAGGCTAGGCTGAGATGGTAGTCCATGTTAGGTGCATCAGATACATTTCAATTTAACCACATTTTCCATTGTGACCGGTTTACTGGAACATCGCCCGTTCTAATAGGGGAGTGTCTGCAGTCCTCCCAGCTTGCCGCTCTAGCGCCCTCTACTGAGAAAGCTGAGTATCACGCTCACCTAAAGGAG